ATACTCACTTTTACTAGACTTTCATCCATGAGTTTATTGTTGGGAAATGAGTCCAAATACTTCTTCAGATCCATCGACAAGAACTCAAACACCAAATACAGTCGATTCTCTTGCATTATCACGTCCTCCAGACTGTGTATCAAACAAAACACCAATCAATTGATTAGACAATACAATGAATGGAAGAGCAAGTGATGGTCACAACAATGGTATAGTCTATAGACACACAAACCGGACAACGTTTGGATGCATTAACTCCTTGAGTAAAGTGATCTCTCGGATGGCAGTGGAGGGCACGCCTTCGTCCTCATTCTCCAGACGGATCTTCTTGAGGGCAACCAATTCGTTGGTCTTCTTATTCCTCGCCTTAAACACCACACCATAAGTGCCTAAAACGCGGATCCAATCAAAAAAGTGGAGGGCACGCCTTCGTCCTCATTCTCCAGACGGATCTTCTTGAGGGCAACCAATTCGTTGGTCTTCTTATTCCTCGCCTTAAACACCACACCATAAGTGCCTAAAACGCGGATCCAATCAAAAAAGAGATAATCGGTTAAGTCGTGGACTGAAGACAAACGGATGGTCAGTACAAACCTTCGCCAATCTTCTCGATCTTCTCAAAGTCCTCCATAGATATTGTGGTTTCGATCAAAACAATTGTTTTATTACTAAAACACTAATAATTGTCTCAATTATGGGTTAAGACAACGGCTTAAGAGATGAATGAATGGCAGAAATGAATGAGTTTTTTGAAATGAAAACCGAAAATCACAACAAAAAAGTTCAAACAAATGAGTGAATCGTTGTATGGCTTCCAGTCTTACAGTCGTTAACGCATTGAAAAGCGCTTTAATTTTGAAAACATTGACTTTTCATTGGCTCTCATGTGAAGGCATTGCGAGCATTGGACGCACGACTCGTACGCGGCCTTCAACTCACACTACAACTGGAGGCGTGGCCTCAATACTCGTCCCCATTGGCAGAACCCCACTCTCTAACCCCCTCTATGTCTGCACTTCTTTGGCCCATCACTTCCCATACCATCGATGGTATCATATCTTCATTAGACAGCTATGTGTTGAGCAACTGTTGGTTTGTCTCAAAAATAGTGCTAACTTTTCAAATACTTGTCAAAACGCGTAAAGTTTTCAAAACTTTTTTCTCACTGTTTGTGCTCTGCGTTAACTCAGAGGATCATAGGATCAGATGCGAGACAATTGTCGATGATCTCTTGTGGTATCGCTTAATGCATATGATATGTCGATGCACTCGACATCCATCACACCGACTGAGAAATTAGTTGTTTTTTATAAGATTTATATTCAATTACATTACAGTTATGGGAAATCAGCATTTATTTCATTATTTATTCATTTGTTAACAGAATCGACAGTATATTCTGACAGTTATTATCTCAATCGACAATCTTTGGGATAATTTACATTAATTTATACAATTGTATTCAATTTCAAGCTTTAGTGAGACTTTAGCCAAAACTTAGCAAATATTTGCGAAAATTATAGCAAAATGTGAGAAAAAGTTGTCCTAAATATTGCTTTTATTGCAAACATTTTAATCATTTGTCGTTTATTTTTATTTATTATGTTCTCAGTATTCAAACGGTTTACGAGATATAAAAACCCTTTCATAATATATGGGTAATCGTTGTGTAAACCCATAGCGACTTAACTGATCGATCAAATTTAGTACAACTGTCGGTATATTACTCTGTAATCAATACAATAGACGATAAAAACTGATTTCATTTATAAATCACAAGTTTTCACACTTTTATCGCAAGTAATCGAAACATTTTTCTGTCAGAGAAAGTAATGTTTGTATTTATTTCAAGACAAATAAATTTTAATTCATAGTAATTAGAGTACAATTTATTATTAAAATGCAAGCAATTAAAAGTGCTTTTCATTCAACGATATGCAAATTCAAAGCAAAAAACAAATAAAATATATTTAATTACAAATACTAATCTAAATCTCATTTGGGAATCAGATTAGAAAAGTTTTAAGGCTTTCAAAAGAGTACGTAATGGCCATAAAGTGACGGATGGCTTAACCCATTAATACAATGTCTTCGGCCATTAACGAGTGTTTTATTTTTTTTATTACTCAAAAAGTACAAAAGATATTTTAATCAAATCAATTGCAAATTAAAGATAAATGTTTGGCATTTTAGTTATTATTGTTAAATAAGTGCTAGCACTGCAAACACATGGCTACGGCACGCACTCAATATTCGGTTGAACAAAACAGTCGAAATTGTTCGGCTTTGGTATCAAAATACCGAAGGTCCGGCGGCAACTGTTAAAGCTTATTGGACCCAAGTTGACAAACATCCAACAATTACTCAGGAACCAATAACANGTTAAAATTAACACAATATATAACAATGAAAACAAGGATTAAATACATGAATGAAATTAAAACGTGATTTTAAACAAATTGAAAATGTTTTTATCGGCAAAAAGGAAAGACGAGTAAAAATGTTTTTGAAATATAAACGAAAAGTGTGTTAATTAGCGGCCGCTCTGTCGTTGTTCTGAGCGCCGGCTCTTTGCAGAAAATTAATGAGTCGAAGGACTTCCGGATTATTCAAATCAATGTTATCAGGGATTGATTTATAGCCAAAATAGTCATTCGATGCCATCACCTGAGGATCAAACGTGTCGTCAATTGGTTTTAAGTTGAGATCCAAGCGAACGGCTTCGGGTGCGCTGTTCTTAACGATGACAGCCTTAGCGTCGGGTTCGTAGCCGTCCTTCACAGCCAATACTTCATACGTTCCGGGAGTTAGTAATCGCCAGTATTCGCCGTTTTTAACTAAAATACATATAATTAACGCGTTATTCCTGTTGTACTATTGGCCACCGATTATAACAAACCAGAGATAATGTCGTGATTAATCAATTTGTTGACTCCATTCGTCACATTCTTCACTTTAACCGAAGCGCCGACAATAGGCTCTCCTGTTCTCGCATTCCTTATGATTCCTTTAATACCTAAATGTGACTAATATTTGCGACCAAAGGATAGAATCATTAATTATAGCAATCATTTAATTGTCAGATGTGTTGACAAACCTGTTTCATATAAGCGATGAGCGCATCGCGATTGTTGTCCCATTCGGTGGACAAAGTGCTTTCGGCCGGATATTTATCACATCCCAATTCGAGTGTTATCTCGAAGTCATTTGATCCCAAATAGTTGAAGTCCTGCATACCTCCGGACACGCTATACCATTGGGCGCCATTCGTTACGCCTCCCTGTTTGGTGAAGTCGTCGTCGTTTTCACACCTCACCCGCTCTCCCGTCGACATAGTCTTGTGCGTCAAAGCGTAGACATGTGCCAAATGCCTGTCAAATATGTTAATCATTAGTTTACGCGTCGGTCTATTAGTAGACAATTACCGGAATGTGTTGTCGTCGGGCGAAGCCGTGTAAGAACTGGCACTTCCGTCGCGACTCTCATCGTACGGATAATTGGCCACAAGAGCGCCTCCGTGTAGATTAGCTGACAGTACAAAAGGATTGGATAAAATCCATGCCATCGCCG